GTACGGAAAGGAATAGGAACAGAAAAGTTGAAGAAGGAACTTCTAGGAGTTACAGGCATGAGCTCTTTATATTTAGGGGTTTCCTCACTGGGAAGGGAAGTGCCTGGATATCTATAAAATAATGAGTCATTTTCATTTCATAGACATTTATACCTTACCAGGTAAGGAGAATGGCCTCAATCTCTCTTTGAACCTTTCCAGGATAGAGATAGGTCAAGGATGACTTGTTTAGGAAAAGGCCTTTCCTGGAAGCTGGGATGAGTATCCTTTCTCCATTCTAGTTCTAGCCATCTGGGCATACCACAAAGATATCTCTCCCAGCCCGAGCCTCCCAGAAAATACTAATAGAGCAAGAGACCGTCATCCTTGACACAATGACCTTGGGATGGGTTAAGGCCCTGTGGCCCTTCATTTTTAAAGGCCTCCTGAAAGTACTTAAATACAATGCCCCTTCTATGCCCTGTCAAGGGGAGAAACTTAGTAATTAGACAAAGGAAATTGGAAACTTAGAAATTACAGAGGCAAGTGGCACTTCCATCAATGAACATAGCAGCACTCTATCAGTGAATATAGGGTACTTTTTAATAAAACCGAGGGCAGGAAGTAGGTAAATGCTCTAAGCAAATAAGTTTCTAAGTAGTACAGCCATATGGATTTATCATGTGGACCATATGGGGCTTTCAGAAATAATTCTTTTGGCGATCAGATGTGTTTGAATTTAGGTACCTTAGGAGAGAACCAGCTGCATCCAGGAGTATAAGACTTCCACCATTTGTCTCCCCTCTCTCCACTCTAGGATCCTTAGAAGGTAGTCAGGGAGCACTACTCATGTTCTGCAGGAGGTAGTTGAGATTCATGTCTGGAAGCTGGGGAGGCTGGCTGCTGAGAACTGAGCTTTCTGAGTTTGATGGAGAGAGATGGCAGACCCCATGGAAAAGGGAAAGGGTAAGGATAGTAAAGAAATAGTTTAAATGAGGAGAGAGCCAAGAAATAAAGGGTAAAGTTTACTGAAGGAGATGGTTTATCATCACTTTCTCCAAATCCTGGGGCAAGAGGCATCCCCAAGGCCTACACAGATAGGGCTTACATTCTAACCCTGAGGCACAATACCTGCTTTTCCGCCCAACTCTGTAGGTTGGAACAATTATCTGGACCCTTTTGGTAAGTTTATTATTTTACCCATGTTTATTAGTGTCAGTGTTTAGTTGCTCTCAAGAAAGGCAGATGAGGCAGTACCAGAACAGACCCACTATTGTGTCTTGCATGGGCAGCATAAGATACAACTTTGGGGCCTTGTGGGCAGCAAGGGGCATCTATGTATAGGTGACACCACGATGAAAGAAATAGTAGTTACTCCGCCCACTTTGGGGAATGGATAAGGAATGTGTCTGTCTGAGGACATGAGGCTAGCATTTGGAGAGAACTGTGAGAAGGAGATTCCTAAGTGATATGGTTTCTGGCTGGGTCCAAAAAACAGCCTTTATGTTTCCATGAGTGCCCAGAGCAGTTATTGAACTTGTAGCTGTAAAAAAAAGGGGGAAGGTCAGGAATGGGCTTTCAAGTCTGGTCAAAGAGCGAGGTGACCTAAAGGACAGTCCCAACCATAAAGAAACTTGAAATGACCTTGGTTACAGAATCAAACTTGATTCTTGTGACTAGCTCTTCAAGAAATAAAATGGAAAGTCACAGCCCAAGGAAAATCTGGCAGTGGTACAGCAGGGCTTGCAAGCCAAGACTAGGTTGGGGTAAGCTTCCCCCCACACCAGGTAAGTTCCCTTTATTTTTCGATTGGTAAAACACATACGTATACACATACACACACACAAAAATGACACAAGAGCTATGCCTGGAGGTGTCTTTTTACTTCTTTTATTGAACTCCATAAATATTTTTATAAGGCTTTGTGTCATTACAACATCATATTTTTGTTGTTAAACAGTTTTTTAAACACACAACTTTGACACTTGTTTGACAGGGTCAAACAGTCAGATAGAAGAAACAAAATAATAAACTGGCAAATGCAGAGCAGCAGGGGTAATTAAAATCACTGTTGCCCATCCAGCCACCCCAGCCCACCCCATCCCCAAAGCACTAAAAGATCACTATTTGGCTTTACAGTAGAATTATTAGAACTCTCTTGTTGCTGTCCTTATAAATCCATTAGAGCTATACATGTAGAGAGAAGGGGAGAGAGGGAGAGAGAAAGGGGAGTTGGGTTTCTGTGTTAGGATCATCCCACAGCAGAGCCCACAGAACACATTAGCAAAGCCTTTTGAAGAGCAAATCTAGGCCTCGTTGGGTTGAGGAAAAAGGAGCTCAGGGCCATGCAGACATAGAGATTTACAGAGTTCTTGGGGAATAGCATTGCTGTGAGGACACAGAATAAGCTTAGACCATGAGCCCAGATAATGGGGCTCCCCTTGAGGCCGCTGGCCATTGGTCTTATTTGCTGCCATAGGCTGGGGGAACACTACGACCAAGGGCAAACTGATTTCTTCTT